AAAAAAAAAAAAAACGTCTGTGATCCCAGCGGAGCGACCTAACCGAAAGCATTCCACCACTCAACGATCCATGTCCCGGTCTCGCTCAAAGTGCCGCAACTCCGCCCGACGAACACCGAGGACGGACTTCTCTGGAGCTGTCAGTGGGGAGAAACGCTCCATACACTGCGCGGCCCGGAGGAATTCCTGCTTCACCAGCTGGAACTTCGCGGGGTGAAGGTGGCGACCGAGATTCAGCCCGCCAGTCCCAACGTCCTCGTATGGGTCCTCAATACAGAAATTGTAGCTGAACGTACCCTTCTTGTTCTGCGGAAAGTTCCAGCCAACATCGGAGCGCAGACTGCGCCGATTACGACTGAGACTCACCACTTCCTTCTCATAGTCAAAGTGGTGGGCATAGAAGATGAAGAAGCCATGCAGAAGCCGTCCGAGCTCAACTGGGTCGCAGTCATGTAGCGGGGAGAAGTCGGGGTACCGCGGCAGGTGGGCCGGGTGCGGCAGCGACCATGGGTCCACCCATCGCACCTGCTGCGTCACGAGCAGGTAGTAGAGGAACATTATGGTGACAGCGTAAGATGTGAGCATGGCAGCCGATCCGGCGCCAACGTTTGTTGCCTTTCCCCAAGCCTTGGCAGCCATTGCAGCGTGTCGCGCAGCACTTGGGCCGCTGTGGAGATAGTGGCGGATGAGGTAGCTGTTCTTCACTCCGTATCCGACGAAGGAGATATCCCACCGGTACATGAACATCTCCGGCACAAAACGTGGGTCGAGCACATCACGTGTGTAGTCCTCACGCATGCCCCTCGTCATGATTTTGCCATCAGGGAAAAAGCCAATTGCCTCAATCATCTGTTCTTTTGAGGCGCACTGAATGGCGATGCGGCAGCCGTATGTTGTGCGGTCCACCCATATTCCCTCCACATTATCGCGTCCCATTTTGTCCGCTATATACTCCACCTCACGTTCGTCAATGCATTGATTCCGCACGTCAAGCAACGCCGTGCGTGCCTTGCGGTCCTCCTCTTCACTAAGAGGCGTGTACCTCGCACGTGCCACCTTCTCATCGTTGGCGAAGCGGAGTTTAACCACCGGTGTGCGTGCCTCCGTGAGGCCGAGGAGGTTGTTGCGAAGGTAGTGCGGCACGTAGCGCTTCATAACGGTCCATAGTTTGTCTGTTCGTTTCGCCTGTACTTCGTGCGAGGGGTACGGGTCGTCGAACATACAGGCGAGGTCGAGATCACTCCCCCACTCCATCTGCCCGTACGTGACCATCGAGCCGCAGCAGTACACCTTCGCGTCGGGAGTCCACTTATCCGCCAGGCCCTGCAGCTGCTGCTGCGCGCGAACCGCGGTGCGGAACATGTGCTCCGGCCCCGCACGCCTACTGTTCTCTGCTAGAATTGCCTTACCCCACATCGCGTAGTGGTCTGGTGCCGGGTTGAGTTTTGTCGTCTGAAGTCCCGCGGCTGTCTGGCGGCGCACACGGGAGAAGCGCATCCCGCCACATGCAGTGCGGCGCATTCTCGTGTGGGTCTCCCTTCTTCACGTATCTGCCGGCCACAGACACACACACACACACAGACACAACTAATGAGTGACACACCTATTGGGCAAATAAAAAGAAAACCACAAACAATAGTAATACAAGAAGGCACCGTAATGAGAACAACATAAACACACAAACAATAACAAAAGCCACTCCATCATTTCTCCCACATCCATCGTGTCAACAAACCAGCGTTCCGAGAAAGTCAAACGCCCGACCCAACTAAACCTCAACCAAATTAACATGGCTGTTTCACCAC